AAGAAGTCACATACTCAAATTTTGGTGCCCCATAAATATACCCAAATAGGGTTTTTACTTGAGGAGGATATACCCGACCGAGCAATAAATAATATTTTGTCTTATCTTAAAGGGAAAGTTTATATAGAACCGAGGCTCGAAACAATAAAATTAAAACCTACGTCAAAAATCTCACTAGATGAAGTTGTTTTGATGCTCAAATACCTTCAAATTGATCATCTCGACATCAAGATGCATGCACATGAGAAAAAAATGGATTTCAAGTTTTGAAAATAGTATATTTTGCAACGCATTTTTAGACCATCAATTTTCAAGATTTTCGAGTTTTCATAAATTTGTTGATCTACATTATTTTTTAAGCTTTAAACTTTAAAACTAAAGATAAACATATATTTTAAAGCTATCACAAATATTTCCAATATCGAAACCATGTTTCTCGACAGTATTTGAAGGTAGGCTCTAGTTTGATTGTTTAGAGACTAGGTTCTATACAAACTGCACCCCATCTTAAATGTTAAACAATGCCTCTCAATGTCGTAACCTCATACAAATTTGGAAAAAAAGAGGAAAATTTTGTACAGAACCCTAATTCTTCATATTATTTCATGGTAGACCCTCTTTCCGTTCTTCTTTTAAACAACATAAAGAAACCTCTAAAGATTTCAGCGTACCCCCTCATCTTTTATTTTCCTATTTTATTGATTTTTTATCATAAAATTAGCTCCAATAAATTTTTTTTTACCATTTCAAACAAAACACTTTTTTAATGGGTGAAAAGGGAGAAATATGGTAAAAAATGTTTTTGGGTTGAAATTGTATAAAAATATTTATTTGGGCTAATTTTTATGGTCAAAAGTCAATAAAAGATGGAGATAAGAGATGAGGGGGTACGGTGAAATCTTTGAGATTTCCTTATGCCGTTTGAAAGAAAAACGGAAGGAGAGTCCACTATGAAATAATATGAAAAATTAAGGTTCTATACAAAATTTCTCCCAAGAAAAAAGTCATTTGCCTATGGGAAAACTCAAGATTATTAACTTCTTGTTTAAGTAGCTTAGTTATTGAGTCTGTAGCCCTACAATCAAAATTCAAAATGCTGACATGTAGGTTTGAATGTAATGCGATATTGGCCAATGAGGGTTCACAATGGCAAAGTCATTCATTTTGTAAAACACGGAAGTTTCATGGGTGCAATTTAAAAAAAGGACAAAAACCCCTTTTATAATTATAATCTCAAATAATCCCCCAAGTCTACGAAATTTAAGTTGGGGATGTTTAACCCTATTTTTACCTTTATCATTATCTAAATTACAACATATATATTTTTTAATAATCTCGTTCATAAATAAACGAAATTTCCCGAAGCTTCGTTTAACCTACTTGTGAAGTTCATGAGATGAGAGAAAGGGGTTCAAAGATTGTTGCTAGTGAGAGAGATGAAGAGGTTCATGGGTGAGAAAGTGAGAGAAAGAGAGGGAGAGCTTTTCTAGGATTTGGATGATGAGGTCATTAGAAAAAACAAAAATGATAGATATTGTAATTCAGACAATAAAACGAGATGTTGGTGGCTTTTTATTATTATTATTATTATTATTATTATTATTATTATTATTAACTTAGAGGGGGTTTATGAGCTTCCTATGGGCTTGATGGCTTATTTGGGATTATAATTACGCACAAGAGATACACGTCTTTTTCCCTTTGAAAGAATATTAGGTATAACAAAATCTTTAACAAAATTATACAATGATGGTTTCTTTGTTTCGCGCATATATTAAAAAAGCATGGATAATGACACTTTTTGAGAGAAGGAAGTAGTAGGATTTATATTTCCCTACGTTTTTCACATTTTAAAAATGTGATATATCAGCCCTCGCAATGATATATGGTGCCATTTTACACTTCAAAATCGCCAATACTTCGCCATATAAAACAAATTTGATCATATAACGTACATCATCCCCTGACCATGTGGATGATATGCATTTTTTATCATATAACGTACATCATAAATTAAATATGGACTATTTGAAATTAATTTTAATAAAATAGATGATATGCATTTTTGATAAATTTTTTATATAAAAATAATAATTATGATTTTGGAGATAAAATGTTCTTAGAACAAAACTATTGTCAAATGACAGAGAAGAACCAATGAAAATTTAGTGAAAAAAAATATAAAGAAAGATCCTCTACCGAGTCATGACATAAATTATTGTTGAATGACTTCATTATTATTAGTTTATATGGAAAATATTAACAAGTTGAATTATGAATTACTCTATTATAACCTTGCCATAACTCTAAGCCTCACTTTACGTTATGTCATCTATACATGTCCGATTTTTTCACTATGTATTTCAAGTTAAATCCAATATATTCATGATTTTTCTAAAGTACCTAATATATTGACTATCTATATTTTTGCCTCAACCGGTTGCCTTTGATTTTTTGGATCAAAGCTGATTTATTACTGGCTTTGTCGAATAATTTTATTTTTTGACTTGTTAGCTATGGATCCAATGCATATTTGCAACCATTATGATTTTACAACTAAGGAAAAGTATTTCGAGAGTGCTCGCCTCAGTTTTGAAGGACTTAGGAAGCAAAACGCGTCTCAAAACATTGTAAATGTAGTTCTACCTCATGTCACTGATTTGGATCTCAAAAAATATACTGCAATCTGATGATCTTCGAACAATCAAAATAAATGATCCAAAAAATATGTTATATACTATTTTAAAATTCAAACTTCATTTTTTCATAAATTCATGATAATATGAATTATACACGAGGATCTTAAAACCCGTCTCATGCCTAAGTAAAAAAGTTGGGTTGTGTTAGATAGGCAACTAATGTAAAACTTTGCCAAAATATATTACAATGATGATGATCCTGCAGGATTTTAAATCCAAAATCCACCTCTAAAATGAACTTTGGTATGGTGGACTCACAGTAACAAGTGCATACCTAAACACACCTAGACTCAACCCTACAACTGAGAGTCCCCACCTTGCCATAGAATGATGCTAAGCATCATGGTAGAGTAAAAAGAGAAACACAACAACCACGAAATACCACACAAATGTCATTAAGAAATCAACATCACCATCCATGAGTTCATAGAAAAGATGGAAGGTACTTTATATGGGGTTTTCGAGTACTATTATTAAGATTTGTCGACTAATGTTTATCTTGTTTTTCCACTAGAATGAAAACTACATATTAATGGCATCTTTGAAATCCATGCCATCCATCTTCAAATCCCACTGCCAATAATAAAGAAGAAATCTAGATTTTCAGCCTTATTATTTTCACTTTAAGAATGAACCATGCTAAATCTCCTCTACAAGTTGTGTTATTAGTTTATTTTCTATTTTAGCTCTATACAATCCACTTTGCCTAATTTTATTTTTCATTTCTATTTAATTTTCATTATTTCATGCATTGTGTCTTTATCATTGTGTAAAATGAAAATAGAGGTGTCATGGGCAAGTTAGTTACCTGGTAAAATAGTGATGTCGTCGGGCCTTTTAAGTAACATTACTAATTTAGGTAAAGGGTTGTCTAGAGGTAACAATCCCTCAAAATACAAAAGTTCAAGTTAGAAGGGGTTGTGATGGGTGTATTTATAAAAACAATCAGTATTTTTTTATTAAAAAATTATTTAAATAGATAAATTTACCATTAAGTAAGAAAGAATTTGAAATTTTACAAAAAATACAATGACATTTTGGAAGTAGTGTTTTGGAACTTTATTTGTTGAGTATCCTTATACTTTAGTTAAAATTTCAATCTTACTTCTTATAGAAATAACAAAAATACCCTTTATCTTGTAGTAATATTTACAAATTTGCCCCATAATAATAATTTCTTTTAAAAATTAGACAACAAAATTAATAAATTCACCATTCACAACTCTATATATCTTAAACCTTTGTAATTTGAAGGGTTGTGAAGTTTAGAATATCCCTTTAGGTTATGTTAAATATATAAAGCTATCTCCTGCATGAAATATAAGAACCCTTCTACTAAGTTTAGGAAATATTATAACCCTTCCAGTTTAGGTGGTGTTCAATATAGTAAGCACATTTTTTTGGAATTAAAATTATACAGTTAGACACCTGTATAGAACTGGATTATTGGACACAAACAATTCAATGGTTGTCGAAGTCGATTGATCGACATTTATGCTGTTTCGCCACTTTGCATGTACGATCTCGGCCTTCTTTAGAACCTTAATGCGATATGTTTAGATGCTGACAAGCTCGATGCGATCGACTCGATAAATACTAAATAAAATGGTGTGTATTTTTGGTTTGTTTTTTCATACATGGGTCTCAGTTTGCTATACACAACCTAAAAACAGGGTAATTTGGGTTATCCAACATTGATTTAGGGGTTTTGGAAGTAGGAAACTGCTATGTGATCCATACGATCATATAAATTCCATGGCTAGAAGCGGCAATCACTGTTTAGTAAATGGATGGACAATGGTGGAGAGAGATGGACTTATGTAGCATTTCGGTGGGTCCCTCTCTCTTTCTCTTCATCAGCTTCCATCTATTAATAAGATGGTGATGAAAATCATGACCATCGACTTCCTATGGTCGTGAGGATCATGATATTCCTCCACATGAAACTAAGTTTCTAATTAAAGGAAACTATATCAATCCACATATGGAGAGAGACCATACTCCAGGATCTCATCATCCATGTAAATAATGTTACCATGTGAAACAGATGATCATGTCCTATTGTCATGGATCCAATCTCTCTCCATCACCGTTGATTGTTTAAATCAAACGGTACTAACCCAATGGACAATGACTTTTGCATAGTTTAGGACTATATTTCATATTTCATAGTATACTCCTTAGTAAATATATTGGTCAGGGTAGAATTGTCATATTTGAGAATAAGGGGTTTATCCTGGTTATTACGTATATAAATGTGGGTATTTTGGTAAAAATAAAATATGGGGCCTTCTAATATATAAGACCTTTTTAGATCATAGTAATCATCCTTGTTCTGCGTTATGTGTTATTCGTGCAACGGTTTCCAGGTATTCCCTCCTTTCATGCCCCCGTTTTTTTTCTAATTTTATATAATTTTTGCCCTAATCCTGCGAATACATTGTTTTTCCTTTCTTTTAATGCCTTCGTGTTTGAATTTCTGCATATTTCATGGCAGAAATATTGAGTTTGATTTCCAATAACTCCATTCTTACCTGCCTTTATTGCTAAAATTTCCGGTTCATTAAGTAAAGAGAAATTTTGGTTCATAAATTAGGTTTCTTTTACTTGTGTTTAAGTTTGTGTTTAATTTTGGATTTTTGATGAGTGAAATATGATGTACAATGTATGAGATTTTAGAAATAATCTACAGTTATTTTTTGAATTAATTTTTGGTTCCAATTTTAGGTTCTACTGGGGAAAATTATGCAGGAAATGGTTTGTGCTTGTGGATCGTGTGTAATGTGAAAGATGCAATGTGAAAGATCAGTTATTTGGTATGTACTCATCTTTTTTTTTTCTTCTAGATTGTAAATTTTTTATCTTCATTTGAATTTACGAAATTAGGAGAAATGTATTATTTTGTGGATTAATTGCAGATGAATGATAAACTTAATGTTTGCTGGATTCGAACATAAATAAATTAGACAGTTGAATGGGTTATTGATTCAAACTTCTTAATTTTATTTTATTTTGTAGAGGAAGAATAATAATAATCAATTTATGAAATGTAAATTAGGGTTGCATAGACTATTGCTCTTTGTTTCTGTTTTTGTCACACAATGATGGATTTTGTAATGTTAATGTCCATATTCTTGTTATATTTTGTTTCTTTTTTGAAACTATCATGAATCATTCTGTTACTTTACCATTCAACTTAGTTTTTTTTTTTTATTTCGTATTCTTATGTCTGATATGGGGGTACATATATCGTTTGCTGCTAAAAAGTATGGGTTTCTTGGTTGACTGTTCAATTTTAGCTTCGTGCTATTTTGAATTAAAATTTATGTTTCTTATGAGTATGGCATGCATTCCAATTGAATCTTTGTTGCTATGGTTCCTTTGGTTTACGTTATCTATAAAAAAAGGTTCCTGCTGTGAATTTCTTTTTCTTTCAGTATATATCATGATTTATAAAAGGTTCTGATGAATTATTTATGAAAAGCCTATTGTGATTTTACGTATTCATTATTCTTCCTGTTAGCATATCTATATATGCTCATAGGTCTTTCTTTCGTTGGTTTCTTATTCTAATTCATGCTTTACTTTGCAGTTGGGTTCTGTACGATGTATTTATTCTCTAAGCAAGAAATTTTAGCCCGTGACACTTCATTTTCCTGTTCAAAACAATATATTACCTTAACTTAAGAAACAAGATGAGTGGTCTTCCTAAAAGATTGCACGAGGAGGGAAACCGTCCCACCTTTTCCTCAAAACGATCTCTAGAAGACATTATTGCTTCTCCTAACCTTAATCCTAATCTTGCGGGAAGGCCTAGCCAGTCAATAGGAAATGAATACTTCCCCTCCTTTGAACACGGAAAAGATGGGCGAGCAGCAAAAATACCAAGACTTGAACCTCGCGACTCTGATAAACGATCTTCTGTTATTATTCTACCGTATCATAATATGGTCTCTTCTTCAATTGACCCCCACATGGAGCACCCCTGTAATTTTGATAACCGAATGGAAGCGAGGGATGCCAAAGATAGCCGTGATCCTAAGCTTGATAATAGAGAGAATAGGGGAGATACCAGTAGGGAGCCGTACATTGAGGCAAGAGTGGAATCTCACTCTGTCAAAGTCGAGAAGGATTTAAAACTAGAGAGTAGAGTAGATGACAAGGATTTGAAGCTCGAGCGGGATGTGGATTTCAAGCGTGAAATTAAGGTGGAAAAGGATGGGGGAAATACACACGTGAACTGGAAAGACTCTAAGGATCAAACTTGGAAAAGAATCCCTGATTCAGATGGCTGGCGACAATTGACACGGACCAGTGTGCATAATACAGAGGAGACAGAGAAAGAAGCTTCGACAGTTGATGATGGGAATTGCACGGATGCACAAGAGGCTGTTGGGGAGAACAAACTTGATTGGAAATGTGAGGAGAAGTTCAATGAGAAGGAGAGAAAAAGAAAAGATGAAAAGATTCATGATTGGGGAGAAAAGGACCGGGAGAGAGATGACCGCCGAAGTAATATTCCATTTGGTGCTAACAATGTTGAACGCAGGGAGACGATGAGAGAAGAAAGAGATTCGGATAGGTGGGAGAGGGAGAGAAAAGATGGAGCAAAAGAGAGGGAACGGCCAAAGGACAAGGAATCTATTAAGAGAGAGTCCATTGATGCAAATGATACAGAGAACTCACATTATGAAAAGGAAATTGTTGATGGATCCATGAAAGTTCCAGACCAAGATAATGCAACAATTGAACAAAAGCGTGGCAAAGAATCTGATAGTCGGAAGGGTGATAGGGATTTGAAGGACAAGAAGAAAGATAAGGATCTAGATGCTGAAGGAGATAGGCATGATAAGCGTGGCAGGTGTATTGATAAGGATTCTGATGATGGTTGTGTTGACGAAAATGGGACAATTGAAAGGGAGAGAGAAGGCTTTTCTTATGGTGTTCAACAACGTAGAAGGATGCTGCGTGTTAGGGGCACACCTCAAAGGGAACCTCGGTCTCGGTTTCGCCCGAGGGATATTGAAGGGTATGCATTTTCTTTTTTTATCTTTGGATGTATGAGTGATTTTTCTTCTAATTATTTTTTATATTTCTGTTTTTGACAATGCTGATTATTGTTACTTTTTGACATTTATTATTGATTCCACTAATAAATGATTATCTGTTTTCCCATATCAGGATTTTCATTACTGCCTAACAAATGACTCTATGATATCTGCTTTTTATGAATAGTGTCTGCTTTAGCTTTTTGAGTCATGGGTTTTACCAGAACGTTCACTTTGATTTGAATATGATGCCTTTTTAATGTAGGCTTTCTCTCAAACTGTGAATGGCATGTTCTTTTCCACCGTATGTGTGTATGTGCAGATGCTGTTGTTGTTCAAATGCTTTTGAATTGATAACATGATTTATCTGACGTGTGAGGCTGAGCTTTTTGTGTCATTTCTGCTTTGCTGTCAATTTTCATGTTTTCACTTTTTTGCTTCTTAATTTTTTGTTCTAACTCTGAAAGGTTAAGGCCTACATAAAATATCATTCATCTTATTTGATCTGTTGAACGATTGAAATTTTACATGGTGGTAGCATCTCCAATCCAGATGGCATTCCTTATCTTGTTTCGTTTGCCTTTGGTCTCTCTAGGCGGGGTTTCATCGTGCTTCTTTTTTGGCTTTATATGCCTGCCTTTGCCTTTTGAATGTCCTCATATTTGGACTCTAGACACCATCTTCGTTAATTATCCAGTTGTAACATGGAGGATTTGGTTATAGAAACTGTGTGGCTTTAGTGATGCATCGTTGCAAAATAATGTAGCTCTTTAAGATAATGCCTTATGACAAGGTACATAACCCACAAATATGTCAGGTGGTGGTAATTATTAGCACTCAAGTTTGCCACTTGATTCTGGTGCTCACGAGAAGCATCTTAAAATTACATAGCCTCAGTCCACTGAGCACATTTTCAACTAAAATTGAAATATGCTCTTCAACAGAAGTACATCAGCAGCATAGTATACCACAAGCATTCCTCACCTTCTGTTTTCATTTATGGGTTAATCTATTGATGCCACTTGGTGCAGTTATTTTCATTGAACTTTTAGCCCTGATCTTTCCCAGAATGTCTAGCTAAAACATTCTTAAAAACTCTCTGTCCCATTTTGGACAATGGAACATCCTCTTGAGCTGTTGATCCCTGACTGACATTACCACTTCCTTTTGAGGCCGTTAACATTCATATTTGTTGTCCACCCATCCCTTGCCAATAGGAGAAAAATAAATTAGAATGCAGAGGCAAACTCCTCCAATTCTTCTATAAACTTCTAGCGTAATTGGTATGGTATAGCATGTCATACCTCTAATTGGGCCTAATGTCATGCAATCTCTAAACATCTTCAGTGGGAAAATATTTTTACGTTACACACGTTTGGTACACGACAAATACATGAATTTTTCCCGTGGTAAACTATTTTACCATGAATTGTCCAATTTATATAAAAAATAGAACCACATCTCTTGAGATGGGGACATATTTCCAGGGGTTTATTTTCACACACTGGAGCCTCCCACTTTATGAAATACAGCCAAAATAACCTCACGAATGAGAGAGAAACTATATCAAATTTTAAGTTTTAGATAGACAAAAATATATTAAAATTTTAGAGAGAAACTATATCTAATTTTAGTAAGAGAAACTACCTAAAAGTTTTTAAATGGAGAAATTATCTCAAATTTTAAGTTTAAGAGAGAAAGTATCTTAAATTTTTAGAAAGAGAAAGTATATCAAATTTTAGAGTGACAAAGTACTTGAAAATTTTTCAAGAGAAACTATCTCAAATTTTAAGTTTAAGAGAGAGCATCCAAAATTTTTTAGAGAGAGAATATCTCAAAATTTTGGAGAGAGAAACTATCTCAAATTTTAAGTTATAGAGAGAAAATATATTAAAATTTTAGAGATAATTTATATAAAATTTTAGAGAGAGAAACTACCTGAAAATTTTTAGAGAGAGAATCCATCTTAAAATTTGAGAGAGGAAAACTATATCAAATTTTAAGTTTTAGAGAGAGAAAGTATCTTAAAATTTTTAGAAAATTTTAAGAAACTATATCAAATTTTAGAGAGTGAAAATGCTTGAAAATTTTTAGAGAGAGAAACTATCCTGAATTTTAAATTTCAGATAGAGAAACTATATTAAACTTTAGAGAAAGAAACTACTTAAATTTTTTTACAGAGGGAAACTATCTCAAAATTTTTAGATAGATAGTATCTCAAAGTTTTAGGAGAGAGAAGCTATCTCAAATTTCAATTTTACAGATAAAGAAACTATCTCAAATTTTTTAGAGGGAGAAACTCTCTAAGAAATTGTGTTTTAGAGTGAGAAATTGTTTCGAAATTTTTAGAGAGAGAAACTATAGCAAATTTTATATTTTAGAGAGAAACTATTTTAAAATTTTTAGAGAGCAAAACCTTCTCAAAATTTCAGGTTTGTTTGTGTTCTCTTTCTCTCTGCATGTTTCCAACTGTGTTTACCAAAAGTGGGAAAAAGCATGCTTGAGTAATTTTTTTCTTGTAAATTGTTTGCATATGCATATACTTTTTATGTAAATATTTTCCTGTCAAACTTTCACGTTTACCAAACAACCCCTTAGTGTTGATTCTTATCTTGTAGTTGCTGCACTTTTTTATTTATTAAGGTACATTTTAACTCTCAAAATGAAAAACAAATGCTTATCTACAGGTAGGATGAGATATGCTATTACAGTTATAGCTCATCCAGGATTCAAATACAGAAAACCCCTACATGAAATCTTGAAAATAACCATTGGAAACTTAGGAAATGATAGTTCAGGAGAAAACTTGTATACAATAACCATTCCCCAAGGCTAAAGAATGAAGATGGATACCAAGCTTTCCTGAGCTGTCAAATCTAGCAAATTTAAGCTCAATCAACTCTGAAAAGGATACTACAATGCAAACCTCCATTTTAGGTTATTCCATGTAGATATGCAGAGAAGGAAATATCAAAGCTGTTATACCACCATGGGCCTATGTGCTCTACAATTTGAGATCCCTTGACCAATCTGGCAATCAAATCTCCAGTGAAATATTGTACGTGCTACATCGAATAAAGAAAAGAAAAGAAAAGACCTAAACTTTTTTTTTTCTCTGCTAAATGAAATGAAAAGACTTGTACTTGCTAGTTGTATTATGCAAATTTCTTCACTTTGGATACTTAAGCTGCATCAACTCTAAGAAGCATACAAAAATGCAAAAGCCCAGTTTAGGTAATTGATGTAGAAATGCAGAGAAGGAAATATCAAAACAATTAAAGTACTATCAGTTCATGTGCAGTAAAACTTGAGAACCCATGAGTGGAATATATCTCTATGTGCTGATTAGATTATGCATCTTTATTCAGCTTTAATAGTTTTTTACTTTTAATTTTTCAATTTACCATGTTTTTATGAAGTGCTTGTTTTTTTTCCTGATTTTTATGGAATATCCCATTGCTATGATGGCATTAATTACTTTTACTATGTTTCATTGTTTGTTTGTGTGTTGTTTGTGCCTGTTTTCACTCTTCCTGATATCTTTTGTTTTGATAATTGCAGGTCTCAAGGTTAGCGTCAATCTTCTCCATCAATTGATTTAAAACTTTTGGATGTCAGTTAAATTGCTGAAGAAAACATAGGGCAACATGCTCCACCGATGCAAAGTTGTCTTTCCTAGCTCATGAATATGATTTTTGAATTTTGAATACATGGCAATTGTTTTCAGATAACGATATTTTATTTGGGTAAAATATATAATACAAGCAAATAACCCAACATATAGTTAGCAACACCCAAAATATAGCTGCCATGGCCATGATTGATGCCTTTTCTTCTTTTAGTCCTATGTAATCTATTATATCATTTCATTTTTAGAGATAGTTGAATTTGCTTTGTATCTTTGCTTCTCGGCTTTGTATCTTTTCTTTCTACTTATTTAGAAGTTATAGCTGGAAGTAGCTGAAAGGTAAATCTTTATATCTTGGAGTTCAATGTTTATAGACTTAATATGATAAGGAAGCATGGTGAATATAAGGATTCTCATGGTAAGTTTATTTTAAATTTTTAGTTTAGATGAATGTTGGTGCACTATTGAGCCACTTCTGCTAAAAAGTTACACCATAGAGCTGGCAATGGTCTGGGTGGCCTGGCCTGGCCCTTAAAAACTAGGTCCTGCCCCAGAAAATGAGGCCCAAGGGTGGGGCCACCGTGGCCCAAGGACAACGCTGAGCTGTGCCTAGGCCACGGCCGGCTCCATTTGACCTTGCCCTTTTTTCCTTATTTTTTTGCCTTTTGTTATTTTTATTGTATTTGGCCCAGCCGACCATGACAGGGCAGGGCCAGGGCCCAGGGTCGGGCCCGCTCCTATAGGGACTAGGGCCGGGCTAGGGCCAAGGCTAGCCCAGCCCATTGCCACCCCTAGTACACCATTAAGCTTGAACCAAATGAAAATTAATAGATTAATGCATCTTAGGGACTTGCATAACATATGTACTAATAACATGTCATGTTTATTGCACATGACCGTACTGCATGCTAGATTGTCTATGTTGTTATGAAAATGGCATGCTAGAGTGTCTCTGTTGTTATGAAAATGGCAGCTGATTAAGATTTGGTTATTTGAAGTTCACGAATTGGTTACTATGTAAAAATAAAGACAAACATAAAAGTATCATAGTGGTCCCTGGAAAGGGTGGTTCAGTCAGTTCAGAGAACGGTAATGATGGAATGTGTTACCAGAACATTCAAAATGAGCAATCCCATACTGTCTTTTTCAAGATCTTTTTCAAGTTCAATATATTTGGTCCATGGATGTGACGAGGTTGTCTTTAATTTTCATATATATGGATGCCATGCCAGAGTTTCTTGGAAAGGCATCTACATTCCTCTAAAATGTGCAACTTGGTTTGCCTATAGGATTTTGTTGCACTTATCATTGCAAAAAATAAAAGAAATTTGTTAAAACTATCATCACAGAGATATTTTGTGAATTTGAAGAGGTTCGGGCATTTTAGTAATGATTGAAAGAGTCAGGTTATTGTTGTCTCCTACTTTGTAGGTCAGTTGCTTTATGGATGTATATGTTCAAGTCTATGTTCTTCTTATTATTAATTTTAAGGTTCTTGGATTCTGTGATTTGGTACATCTACCTAAGGCATTTCTTTAGCTTTGAACCAGCAAGCATGATTGGAGAGTTCGACAATGAGTGCTGGCGAAACCATGCTAGGGTTCCTTAAGACCTTAACATTTAATATTGATGGTTGTTCCCTAATGATTCGGAGATTGTCAACCATAGAGGGTTTGATTAAACACCGCCTCAGAAGCATAATTAACACTATGCTCTATCGGCCATCATGTTCGACTTTTAAAGGCTGAAGCCAGAGCTATTTTAATAGATCAGAATGTTCAGTTACCCATCTTTGTCCATTGATGGCAGAGAGTAATTTGCTTAACACAATCAGAGGAGTCTGGAGAAGCTGTTTACCCCCAGAAATCATGCTGATATAATGGACGACTTCTAAAAAGAAGAAATGTAGAAGGTTCTTAGGTTGGGACAGGGCAGTCCATCTATTAATCCCTTTTGTTGAGAGAAAATGGCAAGCTCTAGTTTGGGCAGGAGTGGAAGTAGTTCTTATCTGTTGTAGCTGCTCGATAATTCTCATGATATCTGCTTTCAAGTTACATCCCCATCTTGTTTCCCTGGATGAAACTCGCTGCTTGCTCTTTCTTTGTTAACAATACAGGAAAAGAGTTTATGTGACACTGACACGTGGTATGTCAAATTACATTATATTTGTAGTTTTTTTGGCCTGGTTTTGACATATGGAATCTGTTTATACCCTACAATAAAGTGTATTTGTATTTTCAGTGAAGTATCAATTATAGGTGTTTTTCACTTCTTTGGTATGTGATGGCACCCACTTCACTTTTTGAGAGGTACAGTCTCAGTATTCATCTGGATGAAATTCAAGAATTCTTGGATGTATGTTATTTTTTGCCACTATTCTGGTCTAGACTATATGTTGAAGAATGAAAACTGACCAATTATGTATATAAATAGTTAAAAAATATAAGTTCTGCATTTATGCATAATAAGAAAAAATATGTTTTGCAAGACAAAAAAAAGTTAGGATTACATTATCAAAAAAAAAAAAAGGATTTGTTTGATTTTTCACGTGTGTATGTGATGAATTTTTGGCCATATTAGAACGTTTACATGAATTAAATTCTCAAATTATTTGATTCCAATCTGGGAATGGATACATTTAACAATGGTTCTCATTGTGAAGTTTTTGGTATTTGGATGGTTTTTGTTGCAGGAAAGTCGGAAGTGCCAACTGTTGTTTATAAAGTAGGTGAATGCATGCAAGAGCTGACAAAGTTGTGGAAAGAGTTTGAAGAATCCCAGGCTACAAAGAGTGGTGACAGTTCTAATAGTGAAGGTCCTACTTTGGATGTTAGGATTCCCTCTGAATATGTGACTACCACGAATCACCAAGTAAGTGATTTGACTTCTGATACCACAATTGTCATCTCTAAGATAGCTTATCCTTTAGTTGTGTAATTCAATTGATAATTGTAATTAGTGTGTTTGTAAAGGTTTTCAGTAGTCCAATAGATTTTAGGAAGTTGGTAGATATCGTCATCATCATCCGAGCTTTATCTCAACTATTTGGGGTCGATTATACGAATCTTGTTCCACCATTTCGCTCTATCGAGGGTCATACCCTCAGTTAGACCGTAAGTCACCATATATTTTTTCAATACTTCAGTTCATATCCTTTGGGGCCTTGCCTTGTCCTTTTAGAGCCTTACATTTAAACCAAATCACCCATCCTAACTGGTGCTATTCTAGGTCGACACTGCACAAGACCAAACCACCTCAAGTCTGTTTTCTCTCATTTTATCACCTATTGGAGCTACTCCAAAGTTTTCTCTAATGTATTCATTTCAATTCTACCATTCCTTGTCTTGAGCACTCATCCATCTCAATATCCTCATCTCAGCTACGCCAATCCATGGCTATGTTGTTTCTTGACTGCCCAATATTTCTTCCCATAAAGCACGTTAGTCTTATAGCTGTCCTATAATACTTCCCCTTCATTTTTCATTGATCTGCAGCAATCACATAAGACTCAAGAAGCACATCTCCACGATGTCCACCTTGCTCTAATTCTATAAGCAACAACTTACTCAATCTCTCATTTCTCATGGATTATCAACCCAAATATCGAAAATAATATCTTTTTGGTATTTCTCGGCCTTCGATTTGAACTAATTCCTCGTTTACGCACCTATTATTATTAAGCTTGCATTCTATATATTTTGTCTTAGTTCGGCTGATTTTAAGACCTGTAGTTTGTAAAGAATATTTCCAAAGTTCTAACTTTGCATTCACATGGTTTTTAGTCTCATCAATCAAAACTGTCATCCACAAACAATGTACACCACATCACCTCATCATGTAGATGCCTAGTTAACTCGTCCACAACCAAAGCGAAGAGATATGGGCTCAATGTTGACCCCTAATATAGGCTTTCTTACACTAAACACCACTTGTCTCCCTACTAGTTATCCTCACATTAATTAGCGCTCACCTTTACATATCCCTAACCATGTTACTATATGCTCTTGAGGTTCCTTACTTTTCCTGCACCCACCAGATTATCTTTTTGGGTACCCTGTTGTACGCTTTCTCTAAATTAATAAAGACCATGTGTAGGTCTTTTCTCTTCTCTTTGGTATAAATTTGGATTGATTTTCTGATACACTTATTTTATGTCTTAGTCGTTGCTCAATTGCTCTCTTCTATAGTTTCGTAGTATGGCTTATGAGTTTCATCCCTCGATAATTTGTAGAACTTTATATGTCTTCTTGGTTCTTGTAAATAGGTACCATAGTATTTTTCCTCCATTCATCTAGCATTTTTTTGTTCTCAAAATCTTGTTGAGCAGCTTGGTCACCCAGAATGTGCCAATCTCTCCCATGCACTTCCAAACTTATATTAGTATACCGTTTGGTTGTAAAGACTTTTCTATCATCATCTTTCTCAAAGCTTCTTTGACTTCATATATCCTAATCCTACAAAAGTGTGTATGACTTCTGACCTCATTTATATCAATGGTTCCTCCTAATGCTGAGCTCCCAGAGTGGCCGTCATTTAACAATTTCTGAAAATAGATTTTCCACTATTTATTGACCTCATCATTCTTCACCAACACCCTCTAATCAGATTCCTATATGCACTGGTTTGAATACATGAAGTTGGCAGAATTGTGACCTTGAAATTGAATTATAAACACAAAAAGAACTAAATTTGAATTGAGATTCATAGATTTCATCTGCATAAATTCCAGTTTACATTATAGTTGGTAGTGGCATACAAGAACCAAACCATATGTGAATTGAGAAATTTTTCATCTTTTTTGGGCACTAGCGAAAACAATTAAAAGGGGAACAATTGTTTCTCATTATGCAAATCTTCATTTTTCATCTGAATTGCATTTTCATGTAGGATATTGGTAAAGGAATCCTCATCGAGCCAAATTGCTCAAAAGGTGTGGCAGTGTGATCTGCTTGAGATGGCTTTCTAGATTTTGATAGATGATATGAAGCTTAAAGAAGAATTAAAAATATGATAAACTAAACGAATATGTAGTAAAGTAGTGGTTTAAAAAACGGATCGGTGTCCCGGATCGGGCACCCCAAAAACCCATATGGATTAGTGAATTGGCGATCCGGATCGGTAATCGACCGAATCGGTCGGATTAATCTTAAATAAAATCCAAAAAAATTATTAAAATTCATTATAAATGTTGTTTTTTAGGAATCCAATAAGAAATGAGGGTACTACATTAATAACTTTTATTTTTTTGCATCAATATGCGAATATTGAGATGTTCCTTCCCTGTATGAAGATTCTCATCAAACTTTTATTAAAACCTAACAAAATACAGTATTATACATTGAAATTAGAATTAGTGGTTTGTGTTTTATTAATTTATCATCATTTTACAATACAAGTAAGAAGAAATTTGAAATTTGTCTTATAATATCATCTAATTTAAAAATCTAATTTACAAAAAATAATAAATTGCATAATTTATAATGTAGATAATTAATAAATAAAACATAAGATTTGATTATTATTGTAATTAGTATAATTATTAATTACAATATTATAATAACCATGATTCAAAAAACAAGGTATGACCCTCATAAAAAATAAAAAAATTCATTAAGTACTTAGAAACTCAAAATCCTTTTTTCTTTATTTTTTATTTTTATAAATATTGGTAGATTGTAACGGGGAACATAATATTTTAGATCATTTTTTATTGTTCAAAAAGAAAATATTTTAGATCCAAAAGTACTCCATAAATAAGCTTTTTCACCTAAGGGATTAAATGTACATTGTGATCCTATAGGTACACGCACTCTTTTTCCCACTTGTGTGGTGTGTTTATGCCCTTTAAGTTAATACGTTAGTTTTTCTATTTAAAGAAGAAACAATCCCATATCGAAGATTTAGGACTGACCAAGTACGTATAAATAAAACCCATTGAGACATGCTGGTAAGCGCGTGATTGAGGTGGGGGTTAGTGCATGAGCTGGCGGGGTGGCACGGCGGGAAGCTCACGGGTGTGTTGACGTGATGGGGCTGGTGGGGGGGGGTGGGTTTTCTTGTGCATGCGCTGGGCTGGGTGGGTTTTCATGCCTTTTTACATTGACACATGGGAAAATTGTATGGACATGTGGCATACATGATGTCATGGAACGATTCGTTGTCATCAAGCGAGGAGAATGGTATCCATGATGTCATGGAACGATCAACGATATCATCAAGAGAGAAAAACGGCTAGATCCCGTTTGTTTGTGGATTCTGAATGGTATCACCGATACCCGATTCAGATCGCCCGTTTCCGGATCGGATCGACGATTTTTAAACCACTGAGTAAAAGTGTTATCTGAGAATGACATATAGACTGTTGAATCCACTGTATACATACCATAGTTACTGGAATCTGCCAAGAAGGTGGTCACTCCTACTCTGGAAGCTCAATCCTGTGCTCTAGGTCCCAGAATAAGGGATCTCGATTCCAAATGTTCTTTGAATTTAGGGATGTCGATCTGTAAAATTGGAGAAGTTCCCTCTCATCCAAATCATGGGGTCCATGAGTAAGTGGAATCGAGCCTCCACCAATGTGGAATCAAGTTTCTTTTACACTAATGTTGAAGATCACCAGCACATTTTGAGTCTCATGTATTGACCTCCTCTCTCTTCCCCCTCACATCATCTCTTTAATTCCCTAGCCCATAGCCCATAATCTCTCTCTCTCTCTCTCTCTCTCTCTCTGTAATGGCCCATTTCACTAAAACTTCTGACATCTGAATGGGCTTTTCGTATAAAGATCAGCAGTAGTGAAATAGTGCCAATACCTACCACAAGAACGAGGTTTGAAGCTTGAAGTTTGAACTTCAAACTTCGAACTTGTAAGGTGTAAAAATAAACACCATAACAAAAAGCTGCTACCTTATTACATTATGGAACCTGTAGATGAAGGAGAGCAGTTAAATTTGTGCCATGTCCTACCCTAAATCTTTTTCATTTCACTTACTAAAAGTTCTATAACCTTTATAATACCCTCTCGTTGGCCATATCCACCATTATAGAGACCTTTGTAGGTTGACCCTCTTTTTTTCCCGTATGAATCTACAGAGCATTTGACCAATTGCATTTGTAATCACATGTAAATGAAAGGACCCAAATGAGGGAAGACATGGACACCGCATTTCCTTCAAACATTAGAGCTTCTTTCATCTCAACATTCTCATCTGAGCTACAGTCATCTTATGGGTATGTTATTTCTTGACTGCCCAATATCCTATCCCATAAAGGAAAGCTGGTCTCACAACTGTTCTATAGAACTTCCCCTTTAACTTCATTGGTATGTGGCCATCCTATAAAACTCCGGTTGCACATCTCCACTTCGCCCACTCAGCTCTAATTCTATATACGACATCTTCAATCTCTCTATTTCTTGAATTATCGACCCAAGATATCGAAAATACTATTTTTTAGGAATTTCCTAGCCATCAATCTTAACTACATCATTTCTACTCCTATTATTACTAATCCTGCATTCCATATGAAGCACACTCCAATGATAACGAAAAAGTTAATTTAATTTTTGAGAATGTTAACATTTAAAATTATTTTAAAAGCATAATTACTTGTTTTTAATGATACTTTGGTTTTTTGAATTTAGAAAAAACATTAATCATATCATTCAATGAACTTTGTTTCTAAGATAGTTATACCCAACTTGGAGAACCTCGATTCTAAGCTGGACGGACTTCGATCCCATATACTTTATCATTCGATCCTGGATAAATTTGGATCACTTTCGCTTTATATCAGGATCATGATCCCTTTAACTCTCAATGTACGGATCTCAATTCCTATCCCATGGATCTTCATGCATCTCTTGATCCCATGGTCCTGATCCTAATCTAGGATTTGACCTCACTCCTGATCGCGGTAACTATGATAAGTACATCATACATATGAAATTAGTGGCACATCTTTGGTCTCTTCCCCTCATAATAAAATTTTCTATTTGGTAATTGGCTCAAATGAATCCAGCATCATCAATTCATTTGTTTCCTAAGAGGCTATATCCGCCTCAAAACTCACACCAGTATCTCATGAAAATCTCCTATCATACAAATAACATGTCAGTGTTCCATCTGTATATTACATGATTTTAAATAAACAAAATAATGCATGAGCTGATTGCAAGAGATTGTACTTGTTAAAACGCCATGGTTAACTGCTTGGTTTCTGCATATTCTGGCTTATGGTTTCAACATTTAAACACTAGTTTGCTAAATGTGAGATAAACTCAACCACATCCTATTGGATATTTGCTATATTATATGTTATATGTTTTTGTGTTCTATAATTTGTTCCCTGCTGTTTTTTTCTTAAATCTCTCTTTCTTTCATGATGATTATGCAGAGAAGGACGTTGGTCCGCTGCACTTAGTTTAGTACTTGTTTATGAATCTTTGCATCTCAAGTTTTTCTTGAATCAATTAGGTGCCTTAAGTTAACAAATCAAGTTTGATGTATTCCATCATCATCATCGTTAAAGGTTTTTTCCAACTGATTAGCGTCAGCTACATGAATCCTGGTCTGCCATTCTGTTCTATTAAGGGCCATACCCTCAGTGAGGCCGTAAGTCCCCATGTGTTTTCTCACTACTTCTAACTATATCCTTTTGGGCCTACCACTTGCTTTTTTTTGGACCTTCTACTTGAATTAAGTCGCACCTCCTAATAGGTGTTGTATTGAGTCTGCTCCACACATGGCCAGCCCATCTAAGTCTCCTCTCTTTCATCTTATGGATGCTACACCCAAATTTTCCTGAATGTATCATTTCAAATTCTATCTCTTCTTGTCTTACCACTCATCCATCTCAACATACTCATCTCCGCTACACCCATTCTATGGGTATATTGTTTTTTGACCGCCCAACATTCCACCCCATAGAGCAAAGCTGGTCTCACAACTGTCCTATCGAAATTGCCCTTTAGCTTCATTGATATGCATCGATCATATAAAATTGCGGTTGCACATATCCACGTCGCCCACCTAACTTTAATTCTATGTGCGACATTTTCCCCAATCTCATCATTTTTCTGGATTATTGATTCAAGGTATCGAAAGTGTGCTCTTTTTGGTATTTCTTGACTATTAATCTTAACTGCTTCCTCGTCTCTACTCCTATTATTACTAAACTTGCATTCTATAGAATCTGTCTTAATCCGGCTAATTTTAAAACCTTTAGATTCTAGAGCATCCCTCCAAAGTTCTAACTTTGTGTTGACGCCGTTTTGGGTCTCATCATTCAAAACTATGTCAAACAACATGCACCATGTTAGCTCATCTTGTAGGTTTCTAGTTAAGCTGTCCATAACTAAGACAAAGCGGTATGGGCTCAATGATGACCCCTGATGTAGGCCTATTGTCACTAAAAACTCAGTCATCTCTCCACTAATTGTTTGTACACTAGTTAGCACTCCATCTTATATATCTATCGCCATGTTGATATAGTGTTTGGAGACTCCTTTCTTTTCTAACACCCACCAAATCAAATTGCAGGGTACTTTATCATAAGCCTTCTCTAAATCAATAAAGATCTTGTGGAGGTCTTTTCCCTTTGCGCTAAACTTATCAATCAGTTACCTCAGTAAGAAAATAGCCTTGGTTGTTGACCTCTTTGACATAAAACCGAATTGATTTTTTTATACATACGTTTCATGCCTTAGTCGTTGCTCAATCACTCTCTCTCAGAGCTTCATAGTGTGGCTCACAAGTTTGTTCCCTTGATAGTTTGCACAATTCTGAATATCTCCTTTGTTCTTGTAAATAGGTACCACAATACTTTTTCTCCTTTCGTTTGGCATTTTCTTTTTTCTCAACACCTTGTTGAACCGCTTGGTCAGCTAGTCGATGCCAAAAAAAATAAAGTTGATGCTTCTTTGTTTTCCTTTTTTTTGCTTGCTGCTTCAGTTACTTGTTAGAAATAATTTATTGATTAATCAACAGAAAGTGGGAACCATGCCATTTTGAGGAGTTTTGAGTCATGGATGATGGTTGCATCTAAAATTAATTTCTTCTAGATGCATTTCAGTCTTATTTTCTTTTCTAAACACAAAGAGGATCTCTTAGAACATATTTGAACTGTCAAAAGTACATTTTGGTTGCATGTGCAGGTTAGAGGAAGCCAGATATGGGGAACAGATGTGTATACTGATGATTCAGATCTTGTGTCTGGTTTGTATCTTCCATTAATCAATTTGTTGTTTTCTTCTATCATTATATTTTTGATGTATACAATTAAGAAGTCTACCTGCTTCTAGATATATTGTATATATCTGTGTTTGGCACAATTTTCTCATTTCCTCTATATTAGTTATGTCCACATTATCTCCACATTTCTTTTGTTTTTCAAGCTTATTTTTCTTATGTGTTCGAGCATGATACTGTGGCTGACATACCTGAATATTATTTGTTCAGTCCTCATGCATACAGGTTATTATCGGCCAACAACATCTCCGCCTCCACCTACCATCCATGAATTACGTGTGACAATCCGAGTGCTTCCACCTCAGGATTGTAAGTGCCTCTCTGTATTTTCTTGGTACTACGTCTTGATTGGACTATATTGAGCTTGCTGATCATGTCAAAATGAAATGTTATGCTGCTATAGTTAGATTATTTAGTTTTGATCGACTGATTGCTATATTTAATTCATGGGAACGACTGCTTGACATGATAAAGAGAAAGAAAAGGGAGGTGCCTTTTCTGGAGGGGAGTTTTTTTTTGGACCATTTACAAAAAATGGCATTACTAAAGCCGAAGTACAAAGAATCAAAAAGCAAAAAACAAAGGTCCAGAGTTGTCAATACAATGCCTCAGGATTCGAATAGAGTGATTCTTGAAGAACCCCTTCATTCCTAAAGGTGGAATTTGGGGTTATTGTTTGGTTCTTTCAAAAGATACCTTACTGAGGTATTCAACCCTCTCGCTTTATTCTGAATCCCAGGACTTAATTTTTGATGTTTGGGAAAAGTAATAGTCAGACCATTTGAATTCTGATATTTTAAAACCGATGCGTGTAGACTTCCTAGCTATGAGAACATAAAGGCCATTCATATAAACTTCCTAGTAATGAGGACATGGGATTTCACAAAGTTCCCTTCTTTAGTATTTTTCTGGGCTTCTTTTTGGGAAGTAATTCCTCTGGGGAATCATGTGTAAATTTTTTTGAAGCTCTTTCAAAGAGGTGGAAGAATCAAGGATGGGCATAAAGTATTACTGATGGTCCCCATATATGCTAGCTGATGTAGCACGATATCAACTTCAAATATGTTGAATTTTTGAACTTATACCAACATCAGTTTAGGTAAAATCCTGTTGAATATGTCCCCAAATGTTCAATGATGAATAGAACATAAAATGATTCTTGTTTTCAATCAAACAAGTTGTCTTTACTTAGTTTACATCAGAGACTAACAGTGACATAAGATGAATCAATTACCAATGTGGTTGCATGAAGAAGAATTAAAAAATCTCTCCAGCTTTATCGTAGTGGTTTATTTGATATTCCATTCAAAATATGCAACCAGTTGACTCTGTTTGCATAATTCAACTGCCAACTGTCATTGATCTGATCGAACTGCACTTCAGGAGATTGCATAATTCTGCTGCCAATCTGTCATAATTCAACTGCCAATCTGTGGGGTTACCCATCCTAGTCTGTTTTATTCCTGGCCCCACATTGGCCCAGCCATTGTAAATTCACATTCAGTTCATTCCAATAAAGAGTTAACAGTTTCCATAAAAAAAGGCTTGTAGATGACAATGTTTTGTCCTCTCTCATGTATGATAATCCTCATCAAATTAAACTTCTGCTTGACTAAAATATTAAATTGTTCAGGCTCATCCTAAAGTGCTTTCTAACCAGAAAACTTGTATAGCTACCCCACCAAGAATTTGTTACACACATACGTGATGGCTTTACGCATGGGCAATACTATCCTTTGTAAGTTTTAACAACTTTAGTCTATTTCTGGAGTTTTACGTGCTCGCCAGAATCTTGCTCAATTTTGGTCCCCCTAGAGGCTCATCTCTCTGTAAACTAGAGTTTACTTGTTTCCATCTGTTGTGCTTCGGAATGAAGTACAGGGTGGGCATGACAACCAAATGAAGGGTCTGGCTTCTGGCTTTCCACTTAACCTAAGAATTGCTTATGAAATTACGGATAGGAAATCCACAAGGTTTGAGCTCTCTCTTATACAGTGCACTTTTCCCACCATCTTAGATGGTTAATGTGAGTCTCAGGTAGCACCTAAGTGAATCTGTAACTCTTCTAGTGATATATGTCACAATTTCAGAAAACAAAAATAGAAATAAGAATAAAAAAAAAATCTAGTTCTATTGCAATAAATTAGATTTTGCTTCACTGCTTTTTTGCCTCCCTGTGCTTTATTTAAATATTTGGAACTCGAAGACCTCTATGCTGCAAATGGTTTCCTGGTTATCATCACCAGTAATCAATCACTCCATACTGAAATTTTATTACTCCCAAGCATCTCAGGATGTACATATTACTCTTAGTTTACTAACTCATTTTTTTGCAAGATTGCTTGTGGGTGCTATTATGCTACTGACTATTTTTCTTTCTATTCATTCGTTTGTAATGGAAATGGGGTGCTGCATTCTTATACCTTGGAACTCATTTTGGATTTCGGACAATAATCATTTATTAACTAAATCTCGCGATCTTTATTAACTAAATCTCATGACCTTGAGGCACTTCCCAAAAGAGGGTGAACAACTACATCTGTCTGATGAGACAATATATGCTTTTGGTTATCATCATCATAGAGACAAACAATTGTAAGAACTTGACGACACCTCCTTTTGGAACAAAATTGTCCTTGTTCATACCAAGTTTGGGAATGTTTGATTTTTCTAGCCACATTGTAAATGGGACCTATTTAAAAATTTATCACCTTTATTTGACCTCAAAGGATGTTTGATTTGTAAAGTTGAATTGATTTCCAACTGTATTTGGGCTCTCAAATTGAATTTTTTGCAAATCTACTACAAGAAGTTTTTCAAAAACTGTCTCTCTCTCTCTCTCTCTTCCCCCACTACCACTACCACTACCACTACCACTACCACTACCACTACCATCACACCACATAATAACAATGTGTGATTCCAATTGTTACGAACAGACACCCATAGAGAGCAATGACAATGGATCAAATTGCCATTTGGTTAATTGCAAATTGGAGGGGAAACGGTATTTGACAAAATTTAGCAATCTCCCTTACTCTATGTGATTAGTTGGATATGGGTTTATTTATTTTAAAAGGTTTCAGAAGCATGTCATTCCAGAGTAATTGACCTAGGATGGTTAGTGGGGTCCACCATGTTCTTGCATGTTAATATGGTTTCTGGCTGTCAATGTGGTAGTTCTGCCATAAGTTTTAATGAGAATGTGAAGTTGAAGCTTTCTGCATGTGATTTTGTATGTTCCACGCAAGTTCATTATTCTGTTTATCTTGTATATGCACTTGAAAGACATCGGCTAATATTCTAGATTTGTCTTTGGTAGGTTATGTTTCCACATTGAGACACAGTGTCCGATCACGTGCTTGGGGAGCTGCTAGTGGTTGTAGTTATCGCGTTGAAAGATGCCGCATAATAAAGGTGACTTAGTTCTTACAAGGGAATAATTTGTTCTTTTCTTTCTAGAAATTGTGGAATGGATAAACTAGTCATTATATCTTCTCTTTTTCCTAGCTGCATAGCTACTTTTTTTCTTTTCTAGTATATCATCAGTATCAATGAATTACCTTGGATTGAGAGATATAATCCAACTTTGGATTCCATTTGCGTTCCTTTTTCTATCCATTATCTACCTGCTTGTTACAGCTCTGGCTAATATGACATTGTTTTTGCAGAAAGGTGGTGGAAGCGTAGATCTTGAGCCTTGTGTCACACGCATTTCTGCAGTGGAACCAACTCTAGCTCCTACTTCCATAGAACGTACAATGACTACCAGATCAGCAGCATCGGTAATTTCTTGTGTATCTGCAAAATTTCTGTTAGTGGTTGCTTTCATTGTGGAAATCACCACATGATACATTTGATAGCATTCATGCATATTCATATATCCAATATCTGTTTTGATGAAAAATGCATATCATTTGAAGTTTGCCTAATGAAATTTACCTTGTTTATGCACCATAGTGTATTGTTTGTTTTGCATCTTATGATAATGTTTCTTGAACTGCTCACCAATATATGCTATTTGTAGTTTCTCTATCTATTCTGTCTATCATCTTTATGTCATTCCGATTGCTCACTTGATTACCTTTATCATGCAGAGTGCATTACGACAACAAAGAATTGTACGAGAAGTCACAATTCAATACAACCTATGTAATGAACCATGGTACACTTCCTTACACTTTTTACAATTTTAACCAACTATTAGTTCCTTGCCTTTACAATTTTCAATATTGTATAATTTTAGCAAACCATGTTATTTGATACAACTCTTGATATTGTACTATAGTGGAATGTATTTGATTTTGATGTTATGTATATCCAGAAGTATTAAGCTGCAGTTTTTTCTGTTGGCTGTTATTTTAAATTCCAAAGAGTTCCACACAGAATAAAGTCGATAAAGGAAATTTCCGTGTCAACTTTTTGAAATTTCCTATGGTTCCTGTCGAAAGTTGTTCTTCTACTGATTTGTTTCCCCTTTGAAATGTGTTTCAGGCTTAAGTACAGTATAAGCATAGTTGCTGACAAAGGGCTAAAGAAGACCATGTATACATCTGCACGCCTAAAGAAAGGAGAGGTTTTGTATGTTGAAACACATTCACACAGGTATAAATATCCTGTCTTTAATTTATTGGGTTTCATTTTTCAGTTATATGCCTTAACATTGCTCAAGTTATGCTTCATTAGACAAACTTTGTAATCTTTCTTTTAACTTTCACGAATGTTGGAGGTGGTGTATTCTCTATATTTATGCAGTAGTAATGGGACTTTGTAAGGTGTACACACATCTAAAAAATTGATGTGTTGACGTAGGCTATGGACCAGAGATTTGGGAATGGGAAATAAAGATGATACTATTATTGTATTCCCTATGTTAAAAGGAGCTGATTATATTAGCGAGTTGTGAACTGTTATGCTGCTCTCCCTTTATCTAGTGGTATTTGGTTAGTTCCCCCAACTCCAGGGAGCCTAAGGACAAGAATCGACTGTTAGACCTGTCAAGAGTTCTCTCGATTGTGCTTCCAACTAATCAGAGATTCTATGGTTCCAGTAAGAGTTGAGATTGTCTTTTGATAGACAAGAGTCTTGAGAACTTTGCCTTGGCGATCTCGAAGTAATCCCACTAATCTTCTATTATCGAGTTCCCAAGAGAACTTTCGGAGTCAACTCCCTTATGATGGATTTTCCAAGTGGATACAACTTCTAGATATTGGAGTTCTATTGGATTCTAGATTTGGAAACAATAAGAGTGCTATTGGATGCCATTTATTTCATTTTCTAGTTAGGCTATCCCCTCTTAACCTTAGAACTCCTTTTGGAATAAGGCTCATGAGTTTATGAATTTCCAATTATTATTTCTTGGTGATAAGATGAAAGAAAACAGACTTAAGTGGGCTGGCCATGTGCAACACAGACCCAGAACAATAATTGTTAGGAGTTGCAAGTTAGTTCAAGTGGAAGGCTCAAGAAGGTTAAGGGGTAGGCCCAAAAGAACATCGTTGGAGGTAAGTAGTGAGAAAAGATATGGGGACTTATGGTCTCACTTAGGGTATGGCCCTTGATAGAGTAGAATGGTGGACCGGGATTCATATAGCGGAGCTCAATTAGTTGGAAAAATGCTCTGATGATGATGATGATGATGATATCATCAACATAATTATGATTGAAAATTCTGCTTTTTCTTTTTTGTCCTTATTGTCACATAAAGATCACCATGTCGCACATCTCACATAATATTGTGATCTTTTAGGAGATGTACTTGCTTAGTACCATATTGACTCCCACGTATCCTAAGGAAGCCAAACAGGTGCTTTAGCTATTATTTCTGCATCCCTTGGGTTCCCTTTTTTGTATCAGACACCAGATCCCCCATTCTTATTTCATTCCATATGACCCTTGATCATGGCCTTAGAACTAGATGAATCATTATCAAGCTGCAAAAAACGAGTTTGCAATGCTTCTGTTTCAAGTATTCCCATAATTCTCATTCCTTTGCAAAATCCTAAGATCTTGATACCACTTGAAAATTGTGCTTTGATGGAAAAGATCCCTGTCTAAGCTCCTAAAGAGTCTTCCTAGAGTTGAAACCTAATGTATCATGGGGACGACCCTAAATATCATTAATTATGTGGTACAAGATTATATCCCACCACTGACCAATCTAAAGAAAGAAAAACATCTTCTCGTTAAAATCTTAAATTCCCTAAAATCTCATACAAAATTTTAAAACCAAACTGACCATAATGTTTCCTAAGAAATAAACCCTAACCACAAAAGAATAAAAAAAATATGAAAAAAGCAAACGCTTTACATCATATATATTCCAGTTTGGGTGAGGAAAGTAAAAAAGGGTAGCTTAACATTATTCCACATATACAATAGTTGAATGGTGATTAATTCCTTATTCAGCAATTGTAACAAGCAATTATTAATTGGCATCACTGGCTTGATTATGAAATGTTGGAGATCATTCCTTGTACCACAAGTTGCTGATCTTCATGTGCTAAACTTTGTGCCCTAACCACTGAGCATGTGGCTCAATGTAACTCTTGTTTTGGTTAGTTTTTCATTTCTTTCTCATTTTAGAATTTAGTCATTGCTATTATCTATTTCTTTTTTTATCATATCTTTGCTTCTTATCATGTGCTGGTTGTTGAACTTGTGAAACCAAAGGTATGAACTGTGCTATAATGGAGAGAGAACCGTCTTAAATGGTTCAGGAGGAATGGGATCTACAGAGAGGGGGGCAAGTATGGAATCCGAGAAGCTTCATAACCAAAACCATACTCAAAATGGGGACCGCAGTCATAGCCGTACAATACATGAGAATGAGAGAGAAATTACAGATGCTTTCCGTTGGTCTCGGTGCAAGAAACCACTGCCGATGAAAGCCATGCGCAATATAGGCATCCCATTACCTATTGAGCACGTTGAGGTATTATTTTCATGGAGTTTTGACAACATTCACACAGGCTAGTGTAATAAGTTTACATTTTTTCTCTTAATGGTTGTTTTTTTCGTATGAAAGGTGCTCCAAGAAAATTTGGATTGGGAAGACTTCGAGTGGTCAAAGACAGGCGTGTGGGTCGCCGGTAAGGAGTATGCACTTGCTCGAGTGCATTTCCTTTCACCGAATTAACATCTATTTTGCGGCGGTGACACTGTTTATTTGTGGCATTCTTATAGTTGTAAAATTAAGTTAATGGTAAAGAATTATTGGTGAATTTATATGTTGTATAAGCAGCATTCTTTGTTGTTTAAAATTTTTATAGTGGTTATGCCTTCTTTTTCTCTCACTCAGAGACAAACAAGCAATTGATTCCTTCTGTATATACATTACATTTAACAAAACTAAAACAGCTAGTTAACCATGAAAAAATTGCTCTCTGTTCAGGTGAATTTTGGGGATCTTTCCTCAACATAGATCAACTCTAATAAAATAAAAATTCAAGATGCATGTGTTCTTTCTGTGCTTGAACAAAATGATGTCCTAGGGTTGAATGTACAACCATAGGCCGGTTATTTTCTGAAATCGAAGGCTGTAAAAGGGCTAAGGAAAGAAAATGGAAAGGTATGAATTCTTTAGAAACTTGAGGTTTAGAAAAAGACATGGTTTTTAATATAGTCCTTGGATTCATACTTAGATATGCAACCTTCTTTGTGATCCATTTTTTAGATGGATTTTGGATTTAATTTTTTAGGTATATATAATTTATACCATGGAGATCATTAATATATTAAAAAATAAATTTGAAATTAAAATATTTTTTTTAAAAAAATTTATTTTTTTGAACAGTTGATTTTGCCCTTTTTGGGGATAGATCACAGCTCCACATTTATCGCAAGATAGATGTGTGATGCCTTAGATAACATAAATGTAACCATGCATCCCCCGATATATAGATAGACCACTTTTCCTTTTAAAAAATGTAATAGAATGGGGCTATTTACCTTTCATTCTTTAACATAAAAGAGGCACAAGGAACAGAGAAATGGTATAATTTAACATAAAAGAGGCACAAGGAACAGAGAAATGGCATAAAAAGTAGGGTAAAAGTGATAACGGGAATAAAGGAAAGGTAAAAAATAACTGGGAAATACCTACCAATTGTATTGTTTTCTTTGTATGTACTATTTGTATTATTATGTAGAGAGATCAATTTTGTTTCAAAATAATGGCCATATACTTTTGAAAAAAAAGGCTACCTTTACTTTATTTTATGACTTTTTCTTCTTCTTTTTTCACGTATCGGCGATACTAGAGAAATTAGCTTACATTAGTGTAGGCCAATGGTTTAAAAACCGGATCGGTGACTCGGATCGGGCATTTCAAAAACAGATCCGGATCTGCGAATCGGCGATCCGGATCGGAGAATCGGTGATCCGGA